TCTAATCAAATAATAGCACCTCCTCAGTCTTTGCTCCTACCACTTCTAGATGATCCTCACGAATGAATGGTACTACCTCTTCAGCCTTTGCTCCTACCACTGTGGCAGCAAGTGGATTGGCGAATTCATCTATAGGCATCCAAGGGAATTCCCCTGAAAAGTGTCCATTGACTCCTACATTTGCCCACTTTTTCAGCTCCGCTTGTACCAGAGTTGACGTTTCACGTGGCTGCAAGCCCAAGGAATGCCCGACCAGATAGAACTTAGACTTGTAAGCCCAACTAGCTACATATATCATAGACAGGTAGAGGACGTGGATGAACTGAAACCATCTTAGACTTTCGAATACACTTGGTGAGGCACAAAGGGTATCGGTATCCTACCTCAACAAATTGAGTAACAGAGAAGTGGCCTTCTCTCTCCTTGTCTCCGTTGCGATAAAAATTTTTTTGAAAGATGCTCGATCGCAAGCCTACAACGTGCGTTTACAGCAGATGATAGCTTTAAGACAAAAAAAAGGTCTTAAAAACTGCCTCGTTTTTGTGGTTACTCCGTGATTGCTCTTCCCCATCAGCAGCGCAAGACGCTCGTTGTTATTAAAGGGAAATAAAGTGTACCCCTTGTTGCTGTCAAAATTTATTTTTTGAATATATGGACTACTGGAAAAACAGCTACCTAGAACTCAACTGAGATCAAGACAAGATTACAACTAGTACTGGAAAAACAGCTACCTAGGTAGAACCTAACAAACTGAGATCAAGACAAAATTACCACTACTGGAAAAAAAGCTATCTAGAACTTAACTGAGATCAAGATGTCAAAGTCAAAGATAAGAACTTCCCTTCAAATAAAATCGAAATCCTACGTACTGCGTACATTGACACATCAAAAGCACCTTCTAATTATCAAGAGAGTCGATGATCCAAAAAACTCATTGCATGAAGAACTTTCCTTCAAGTTGTAGAATCCTACTACATTAGCACAAAAGCACCTTCTATTAACTTTCCTCTTCATGGCCAGCTTCTTCGGGGCAACTTCTCCGCTGATTCTTGATCACATTAGACGCTTTTCAAGCGGAGCATGAACTCTTTAATTGTCTACCGTTTCTACATTCCATTCCTCTCTCTCTCCTCAGAGTCGCACATGCATCGATCCCGGTCCTTAAAAATGCAGCCAGGAAAGCTACGAGTTAACTTCGAGCCTCAATGATTGACTCACTATCGAATGTACACAAAAATATTTCTATGCAATGAATTCTTTATCATCCCTGGTGCGTGTTTCAAATATGTCTATAAATCAACTCTTGATCATTCATTCCCAGCGTAAAAAAGATCCCTATTCTTAATCACCCCTGGCGTTTCGTGGTTTCCACGTGTTATGGCCTCCAATGGTGGCATGCAGAAAGCATCTCGGAAGCAGACACCTTCCGCCTCATGGATTAGAGCACGCATCTTAAGCCCATCGTAATCCAGCACCTTATGATTATGGTGCTCCAACCCTTTGGAATTGGGTTCTTTGAAGCACAATCTCCGCTATGTGATCTGCAGTTGAGTTCAAGTTCTACGCTATGCATATGGATCATTAGTGAAAGCCCAAGAAAAGCTTCTCAAACTCTCACCGGTTATCCCTTCCAGCACAGAAAAATAATAGTAGGAAAAATGATAGTAGGGGAGCCTTAAGTCTAGTTTGCCCGCTAGCTGATGCAAATCCGACAGATTGTCGGCAATTACCTCTGCCGTCGCACCATACGAGACAAGCCATGACGACGGGTCCTCGTCTTCGGACATGTTCTAGAAAGTGAGTCTAGGTACTGATCCTGGAAGTACACAAGATACAAGAGGTTGAGGTAGCTACTAAGTTTCGTTTCTGATGATCTGCATCTATTCGGCAAGCTGCCTAGCGACTTACGTTGACGAATTCTACCCGCTAAAAAGTTTTCTATTCTCGTCTGAGTTTTTGCGGGTATGTTGTTGGCGATTATCTCGATAAGTGTGTGGATCTAGATCTCTTGAGCCTGGGCAGCTGCTTTACAATGCAATGCCATAAATCCCGCACAAAGTACAGCGCTGACTGCCATAAGGGCGCCGTTATGTTTCGTCACGGTGCTAACAACTCACACAAGAGATTAAGCTACTAACTTCGAAGATCCACGGAACTGAGAGGGGAAATGGCAAGCTATTTCCACTAGCTCTAAGAAGTTACTTTCACTCGTTCTGTTCTTCTTAGCGGGTATCTAATCTGTAGATCATCTTCATACGCTTCATGATCCTGAGTGAATGAATGCACCGACTCCAGGGGTAAAGATAAAGAACACTACAATGGCTACTAGTTGATATCTAAGTCTCTATCTCAATAACCTTTTTCACCGGCCACAAAGTGCCATGCTGTTCACTCCTCGGGCTTTTTTAGGTAAGAGGCAATAGCGCCACGTCTGACTTGAAAAAACATGGATATCGGTATCTGAATCGCATTTCCTCCTTCTCAATTTAATATCCAAATTACTTTTTCCTTCTGCTCTCCCTAAGGGTCTCGGGCTTTCTACCCATTCCTTCTAGATGGATAAAAGCTGACCTCAATACAAGACCAACTCCGGCTTTGACTCTGTAGATCGATGCCTTTCAGGACATGAGCGAAGAGGGTCAGTGGTCAATCTTTTCATCTTCGAAAATACTGTTCCAAGTCTTATACTAACTTATAAGCAGTATAGATTTTGAATGCCAATGAGCTCAATTTATAATGTCAATAAGCTCCTTCTTGTTGTTGTAGGGTCGTTCGTGGTAATATAGTTGTTGTTCAGAAATATAAGCTGAAGAGTACTCGTAGGGTTAGGATATTTCAGGGTTATAATTATTAGGAAAAGCATGGACGGTTATCAACAGACCGACCGACGGCCAGGAGGCGGAATCTGAAGCACAACGACGCGTTAGGCAAAGTATATCTAAGGATTGGACAAAGGGATTAAGTCGAAGGGAAATTAATCGGCTCCTTTCTTAGGACTTTGAGCAGTATTATAGTATACTATAATGTCAGTCTTCTGCTTGTGGGCTTAGGCCTTAGGGGTATAGTTGTTAGGTAAATTGGGTGAAGGTGTACTAGGTGGCAGTAATCCTCTCTACTATTAACGAGAGCATTGGCGGGGGACGCCAGAAGGTGATACTAATCCAAGTAGTATAAAAAAATGACAGTACTAGTCCTTAACGATGTTGTACCCACGACAGCGAATCCTTCAACTATCTGAATGTTGTAAGTGGATGTGGATGTACTAGAAGGAACAAGTTAAGTTATCGAACTAACAATCAAGGGCAGTCGTGCTGTTGTATAATTGAGAAACAATACTGAAATAACCGAGTGGAAAAGATCTTCTGCAGCGACACTGCGGTGACACCGATTTTTCGAGTTCAACTGATTCCTTTCCTCGAAGATGCTAACAAATTCTTCTTCCCTCTATGTCAAAAAATTGTATTTTTGAAATTTTTCTTATTGTGTTCATTTTTTTCTCAGCCATGTCTGTCTACCTCCACTGACGCTCGTCCGGAAGCCCCTCCAGGCGCTCCTCCTGCCCCTGTTGAGGTTCCTCCTCCATGTCCATGAGAAGATACAACGAAAAGACCGTCTCCGAAGAGTCGTGTTTCGAAATCGTTGATATCTCGACGAAAACGGTAACGATTAGGTCTCAAGCGATCCTCCTTGGGCAATGCGTGTGCTTGCTGTTGTTGGATAATGAGATGGCCTGCACTCCTGTTTATCGGAGAACCACCACCCGCCAAAGTTCCTACTTCTGTTGTAGATGAGTGCGGTATTCATTGCATTTGCCCGAGCTGCAGTTGCAGCTGTTGCATCTGTTGTATGGCAAAGTGAGTAAATGGCAGTCGTTTCGCAAATCGTTAGATATTACGTCGACACGAGTGAAAAAAGGGGTCGCTCGAATCGATGGCAAACGAGACTCGAACACTTGACAGAATGGGCCTCCAATTGAGGATTTGGAACCTTCATCATATGATTCTCCACAAACAGCTTTAGGCTTTAGTTTCAGGGATTGAACTATCATTGTAAGGCTATGCCTAGAAAATTTGCACAAGTGCTAGTGCACTAGTTTGAATAGCGTGGAGTGTTCTATGCCGGAGGAGGATAGAACCAGTAAACCTAGGCGGTTAGATCGGTGAGAGAGTGAGAGACTAATGTCGAGCGACATCTTCTAGCTCTAATACGACCAAGCAGGTCGAGGGTATCCAAGGATTATTTCACATCCAAGAACAAAGTGTCGTCTTCTTCCTCATCTGATGCACCAGGCAGGCGTAAAAAGGTTCTTGCTCTCGCACTAGGACTAGTAGGTTCTCGCTCTCCCGTACTGGCATCTTTCACTTGTTGTGTGTCGGGACAGAGTTCTAGTGGATGCAGGTCCTCTGTATAATCCGCTCTACGTTGCGGTAGGGGTTCCATAGGTAGCCGGTATCGCTTCCGCAAGCGATTCCCCGCTTCCTCGAAATTGCGAGGATTAGAAGATGAAACGCAAAAGGTTAGGTTAGGGTCGTTAGGCTAGGTTAGAGAGAAGTAGCGCAAGAACTAGAAGCTGGATGGCATCTTTGTTCTTTCGTATCTACCTTCATCTTTGAAAAGGAGTTGTACAATTTTTAGTGTGTGTAAGTGCATGAGTACAACACTTTTTTTTTGTATCTACTCACAACAGGTTCAAAATTTAGACAAGTGTAGGAGATCTACTGGATCATCTGCAGTCTTCAATGTCATAACTCTATTTCCCAAATGATCCGTGATGGAGAATTTTGCTTCCGGGGTCGTCGGTGGCTTGTAATCGATCGCGATGCAGTTCTCTGCTATGTCCATCTTACTCTGGGAAACTTGAACAGCCCCTGCATAGCTGGGACGTACTGGTCTTAGAACTTACATAAATCCATCCTGGTGAGCATCCTGGCCCCGGTTTTCCCTTGAGAAGACTAGGTAGAGGGACCAAGATGCCTCTTATGAAAGGAAAAAGTGCACTCACACTCAACAAATTGGGGGAAAGGACCTACTTTTTTGAGTGTGAGTGCACTTCTTCCTTTCATACCTCTCAAGATGCATTTATTGTAGCCTTAACAGTTCACGACGTGGATAGGTATTCAAACTACGCGCCACTTCGGTTCGAGTGGTGGCTTTCGCCAAATAACCGGTCCACTCCGAGTAGACTGCATTCACACTCGGCTCAGACGGGTGTTGGTACTCTCCCTGGCCAAGAACGGCCGCCGATAGACGGTTCACGGCTGGCATCTTCTTCTATGTATTTTTGCACGGGTGGGATAAGGCTAGACTTGTTGGGGTGAAAACTAACCGGTTCGTTTACTCAGTGCTTTGAGCGTCGAGGCACCTAAACCTTCACCCAAAAGGTGAAACTGAAAGCCAGTCAATCCTTATTTTCTATGTATTCCTTTGACGTTTTCTGGGTCATCATCATACTGCAGCTCTAACGGCCATACTTAGCCATTGGCGGGATGACACATTTCCTACGGTTGTGAAAACGGCCGAGGAAGCGTTAATCCTACTTGAGTCTGGTTGTAACTAATTCTAATTGATGCCATCTTTTTCTATGTATTCCTTTCTTTGTCTGGAATGATGTAACTAATTCTAATTGAAGATCTAAGGGGAGGTTTTTAGTCGATCAATATCAATTTCATCAAGACAATAACGATTTCAGGGTGTTGAAGCAAACGCCTAAGCTGTATAAAGATTCGTGGGAACAAAAGATGGTAACCTGTTGCTCTTTCAAAGCGTGGATCTTCGATGCAATACCTGAGACGCTCTGAAAGTGTGAACACTTCGATTTCGTCGGAGTGTGCAACGGTAAATTCGTCCATGCCTCTCAACAGCCCGATATAATTCACTCGAGTCCGCCATTCACTCAACAGAAAGAATGAGGGCCAAGCGCTGTACAAATACAGCTAGAGCAACTAGAAAATGACGAGGATGATATACCCAGCTCCTAGGCGGGTGTGCAATGCAATTTTTAAAATAACCTCGCTCAGCATCAAACAATACAGAAGAACGAATCCGTGGATACAGCCAGCTTGTTCAACTCCGACAGATGACCCCTAAGACCCGTGCCAGCACATCACACGACACAACGCAAAGGAGAAGCACTGATATGAAAACAGACCCTAGTACACGAATTCAGATTAATAACTGTCACTCTCACGAATCAGACTCGACTCACCAAACAGACGATTGCGCACGTAGTCTCACACGACGAAATGGACAAAGTGAAATAAGTTGGACGAAGTGAGAGATGCTGCAAGAACCCTGCAACCCAGACAAGTACAAACCCGAATACATGTACATCTTCACTCTTTCTCTTTGGGATGAAAGTAGTATTCTTTTAGGACAAAAAACCCTTACTGCACGAATTCACGAACTTAAGACAACGAACACCAGGTAAGCCCAAAAGGCTCGTGCTGAGCATAATGAGTCAACATCATGTTTTTCTTGTCATATTCTTACTAGGCTAAAAAAGCGGTAATCAGGTCAGATGAATATTTACCGCATTGCGCGAATTTCATCCGTTTCCGTAGCCCTGGCCTTTTAAAAAAATACTATCTGTTGTCGTGCCCTCCTCGTCCGTCGTTATCATTTGTTTCTTTCAACGAGGTAAAAAAAAAAGGACGTATTTCTCCTCATACGATTTCAAATTCCTTCTGGAACGACGGCCGAACGCGCCTCCTTAGTAGAGACGACGGAGACGCACCCAGCAGCTGCTTCTTCTTAAAAAAAAACTAAAAGGAAAGACTAGAAGTGATTAGATCCTTCTGGCCTCTTCTTTCAAAAAACATACTAGGCATACTATGGTGGGTTACGCTTCTTCTATCCACTTGGCACGCCTCGATGCCTAGTCGTTTGCGATGCCCCTCTAGCCATCGATCTATTTTGGAAGCACGACAGTTGATGTTGACGCTCACAAAATACTAATTCTCCGCACCCGAGTCCTTCTGGAACGAAAGCAGAGCACGTTTGAGAGCAAAGCACGGCTGAGAGCAGAGCACGTCTGAGAGCAGAGCACGTCTGAGCGCAGAGCACGTCTGAGAGCAGAGCACGTCTGAGAGCAAAGCACGTCTCAGAGCAGAGCACGTCTGAGAGCAGATGCTTGCCTGAGAGCAGATGCTTGCCTGAGAGCAGACGCTTGCCTGAGAGCAGACGCTTGCCTGAGAGCAGACGTTCTTGAAGAAACTTAGCAACTGCAGCGCCACTTCTAGTTCTATTAATAAACCAAATTTCGTGGATGATCTGTCGTTTCTTGATCTGCCGTGGCCTTCCTTGAAATCAAGGACGCTACGACGCATCAGAAGGTGAAGGACCCAGGTTTATTTTCTTAAAAAATTATTTCCCAAATAATAATGACGATTTCCGTTCATTATTTCGTATCCCATTGAGGTACCAGCGCAATTCAGTATAAAGGTGCTGGTGGAGCATATCTAACTAGAAAAAACAAAAACCGAAAAAAGAAAAGTCAGGCAAGAGCTTATGCTTATCTACTACTAACTAAGCGCCGGCGCCGTCGTGGTCCTGTCAGCCCCAGAGGTCTCACCTTCGCAGGCAGGCCGGAGCCCTGTGCAACGCCTCCGGAGAGTGCTCAGCTCTATGGCTGTGTGCACAGGTTTATTCGCAATGGGGTACCGGTTCACCAAATAAACCCACAACCACAGAAAAGGGCACCATCTACTTCGTGCTATAGTTAGCGCAATTCAGTATAAACATGAATATATCAGGATCGCGACCTTTGATCTTTTTGCTTGAAAACATCAAAAGGCTTCTTCCTGCGTCCCGTTCTACTAGAGAACGCGCCGAGGTAGGTGTTACTATAATCTATTATTATTAAGCTATACTTTTTCATCTTTTTAAGGTGTGTTACGCGCGCGGGCACGCGCGCGCGCGTCCGTTACACGCGAAAAAAGGAGCGCGCGCGCTACATGCGCGCGCGCGCAACGCGCGCGGGTGGGGTGCGCTCGCGACCAGGCTCGCGGCTCAGCTCGGGCTCGCGTGGGCCGGCTCAGGCTCGCCAGGGCGGGGCCGGTTTGAGCTCGCTCAGGCGGACACATCCCGAGCCAACAAATGCGGTTGAACTTTGGTTAAAATTTTCGGTTTTTGAGAAAATCCCGACCGAAAGACACCACAACGCACCCGCGTCAGCTGATCTGGCAGCCGGGGGGCAACAACCGACCCGACACAAAAGACCCACGAAAGACCTCACCGAGCGAAACCGTGTCACCGCAATGCAATAGCAGGCGCCCGCGGGTCTAGCGCATGCACCTGGGCCGGCCTCCAGCAAGCGGCCCCACACACTTCGAGAAAGACACCGCAAGAAAAGGCCCGACACCAAGAGCCGACACCACGTCAGCCCTCGAGGCTCACCGGCGCGGACGTGAAGGCCACACTTCGAGGGGCCAGCGAACTGTGACCCCGGCGCCCACTCCAGAATCACGCGACCCGACCCACGCTACCTGACTGGCGTAGACGTTACAGCCCCACTTCGGGCAGGCACTGCTCGGCGCGGGGCCTCAACGTCCACACGCGCACCACCCAGCCAACCCCGCGGAGCTTGCACGAGCACCACGCCACGCTTCGAGGCCTGCCAGCGAAATGCGGCGGGTGCGTCAGATGCGGCCCCGTCTACGTCACGGCTGCGCAGCCCGAAGGCAAGCGTCCCAAGACCCCGCGGGAACCGGTTAAAAAACCGGTTAAAGCTGACGGGTACAAAAACGGTTAAAGTTCACGGCTAACAAAACGGCTAAAGTTCACGGTTGAAATTAAATAGCGCCAACTTTGGGAACGGTTAAAAAAGTCGGCGGCACATCCTACCTTCCAAAACTCGGCGGGACTGCTCTAAACCGACCCCAAAAGCACAAGCGGCCGGCTTCTAAATCACACGAGAAAAAGACCAAAAAATTTAGCCGTTGTTTTACCGTTTTTATTTAACCGCTTTTATCCAACCCGGGAAAGGGTCGGAAAATTTTAACCGTTTTTTACCCGTTTTTTAACCGTCGACCGGGACCCCACCCCCTAAGCCCAGACAAGACCCCTACCGGGTCCCTCCATCCCTTCGAGTGCGAGGCCCAGCACTTCCGCGCGAGCTGTTGCGCCAATCGTCAAGCCCCGGGGCCGTGGCTCAGTGTGGGCACCCAATGGCAGAAGCACTCCCCTAAATGCCCCCGGCCCCTCCTCCACAAGGGGCGGGCCAAGACGACCAAGCAACAGAAGACAAACACAAACAAGCCCAACCCACTGAAAAGCAGCACGAAATCACCCAGGAGGCCAGAAGTATCACACCCGAAGGCCGACGGCCTATCGTCTCCCTGACCAGCTTCAGCGATGCACCCCCTTCAGCCGACACTCCTAAGACATGCACCCCCAAGCCGAAGCATACAGAACCAGAACCGATCGAAAAAAACGACCGAAAAAGCACAAGGAGGGACGTTTTCGGTCGTCTTTTTTGATCCGCTGCCGCAGTTTTCAAGATCCGCAGGACCTCTGTAGAGTACCAGAAAAGAAACACACTCAGAAGCGCCCTCCTTGTCGCTCGCAAATATACCAACAAAACAACAAGAGAAAAGCAGAAAAACCCCAGCAACGAAATAACAAGCACACAACGGCCCAGGGCAGGCGCCCCGCGATCCCAAAAAGCCGACTTTTTTAACCAGTTTTTAGCGCCATTGGTGGCCGGGTGCCCGTCCGCCTGAGCTCGCCGGGGCGGGCGGGGCCGGCTCAGGCTCAGGCTCGCGGGGGGCGGCGGTGCCGGCGGGCGCCGGCGCCGGCTCTGGCTCGCCGGCGCGGGGCCGGCTCAGGCTCAGGCTCGCGGGGGGCGGCGGGGCCGGCGGGCGCCGGCGCCGGCTCTGGCTCGCCGGCGCGGGGCCGGCTCAGGCTCAGGCTCGCGGGGGGCGGCGGGGCCGGCGGGCGCCGGCGCCGGCTCTGGCTCGCCGGCGCGGGGCCGGC